ACGATTTACAAATCGTCTTCTCGTGTCAGTTTTTCTCATTCTTTTATTAAACGCACACAACGGCGACAAACGTACACGGAGACAGCAATTCCGTTAGTGCAAATAAATTTTCCTGATAAGAATAGAGACCAGACGAAAAACTCGATTGTAGAAAAGAATGATTCCTGTAGGAGGTTTCCTGCTATTCATTCGAATTCATTACAAAACACTCAATTGTTCTCAGTTGTTGCACAACAAAGTTTAAATAGTAGACTTATACATAACTGCACCTTTTTATATGAGATAGTTAAAGATAAAATGTAGTAAATAGCTTTATTTCTTTTCTACAGGCATGTTATCTTCGTCGCATTGCGAAACGTTTAGTCTCCGCGCAAGAACGTCTATAACAATTTAAGACACACAGAAAAACGTAAGCAGTAAAACTGAAGCAGTAACAAAATTGACCAATCGCAATCGATGATTCTTCTTACGGTTCAAGAATAATCGATTGTGATTGGCCAATTTTCTTATTGCTTAAGTTTTATTGCTTACGTCTCTATGTGTGTGCGGGCTCTCCAAGTTACGTTAAGTGCTGATCGTAAACTAAAGTTTGTACGTAAGGTAAAAGTATCACTGCCCGGACTATGCCATGTACCTAATCCTGGACATTCTTATTGTATTGGGGTTTTTAAATATAAATATTTAAATTTTCAACAAAATATACATACAGGCATTGAATATATACATATATTTTATGTTAAAAAAGTTTAAATATTCATATTTAAAGACCAAAACAATAAGGATGTCTAGAATTAGATACGTGTCCAGGAATTTTTACTTTAACAGTAAACTTAGGTCAATGTACAAAAAAATTAAAACATAACAAAAGTGTGATTTTGCATAATCAGGCAATTATCATCTGTGAGGTAAGTATATAAAATATATTATAATAAAAATTATGAAATATTTTATAATAAAATATATATTTTATAATAAAAATTATAAAATTATTTTTATAATAAAAATATTTTATAATAAGAATTTTATAATAAAAAGAGAAGATTGTGTGAGATAGAACTTATTAAATTAATACCTTACCTTGAGTAACTTATTAAATTAATATCTTACTAACATTTTTCCACATTGTGACATTTTTTAAATTTAATTTATTAACGATTAAACGTACAAACGGTATACTATAGAAAAAGCAAAAAACATTTTGATAATTTATAAAATTATCAATTTATCAAATCATCGTAATAATCGTAAATAATATTAATTTATCAAATTAATACAAATTAATTAAATACTTATCTTCTATATAACTATCACAAAATATTTAACACTAAAATATATATGAAATATTTTATATTTATATTTTATAAATAATAAGATGCTTGGTCACGCTCATAATCATGGTTTTGTTATGTTATGATTTTCTTTATGCATGGACCTAGGTTTACTGTTACGTAGTGACTTTAGTTTACGATCAGCACTTGACGCAACTGAAAGCGTCACGAGTGTTTTTATGCGGAAGTCTTTAGGGCCCGAATTAACTTGAGAGCAGTAAGATTTAAGCAATAAGAAAACTGATCAATCACAATCGATTATTCTTCGACCGTAAGAAAACGAGAATCGTTGACTGTGATTGGTCAATTCTCTTACTGCTCAAGTTTTATTGCTTACGTTTTTCCGTGTGTCCTGGCCAGCTTTCGCCAACAGAAATCAAGCTAGACAAAAATCGAATATCTGTGGTACAAACTATTCTTTTCAAATTTAGTCTTCACACTCTCATGTGAAGCACTTAGTCGATGCATATAAATTTAGGCGTATAAATATATGGTTTTAATGCAACTGAATGTTCAGACGAATGTTCTCAACTGCGGTAACGGATATATCATTTCACATCGCCGAATTTTCATCTGGTTTCTCTACTCAGTTGCACGAACGGTACTTTTCTTTCCGTGTAAGCCTTCCATGCGATCCATAATGACAATTCGGCGATTATGTACAGACGCTTATGAAAAGAGGTTTCGATCGAGAAAGGTGTCGTTCACGACTTCACATGTCGCTTCAGGCGTGTACACGTGCGCTGACGTCTATAAAAACGTATTCTCTACGCATTAGACGCGAGGTCCTCGAAATATAACGTGCTTCGGCGTCGTTATAAGCTAGATGAAAGACTGGCACTGAGTTTATTCATTCTTACGGTTACGTGTCTAATACAAGGTTTATATATACACAGCAAGCATAGGACCGTTTGTTACGCGCGCACGCTGGAGACGATTGTTAAGCGCGAGAGTTACCTCGCAATCGGACCGACGCTCTTCGATTACATGGTCCCATTGACAGAAGAAAGATTGAATCACCGACGCTAATAACGACGAGAACATCGAGGCCGTTTTAACGTTCCCGTGAATGGTCCTGGAGACGCGAGCTACACTTCTGACACAACAATGCAGCTCGCTGCGGAGACACAATGCTTTCGCTCTCGTTCGACGACGAGAAACGAAACAGTCTTGGGATCGTCCAAGCGCACCGCGTACGAATGCCTGCGACTGAGAGAGAGAGAGAGAGAGAGAGAGAGAGAGAGAGAGAGAGAGAGAGA